GCGCGGGCAGGGGGAGGCGCTGGCCAGGGACCGAGAGAGACCCAGAGACCGGGACAGAGTGACAGAGCCACGAGCTGCGGAGAGGACCCCTGCCACGGGCTGTTTTCAGCCCTGGAACCTCCTGCAGGCCCGGCGACCCTCCTTCCTCCCGCCCGGACCCCGGCCCGCGGGCCCCTGCCCTCCTCATCCAGCGTCTGCTGCCGCCGCGCCCGCCATCTGAGCCCGCGGCGACGTGGCTGCGTGCACCCCCGCCGTGACTCGGTTTCCTCGAGGACCCCTGGCTGGCCTGCACGCCCAGACCCTCCCACCGCCCAGCCCGGCCGGGCCTCGCTGCCCCCACGTCCTCCGGACCCCCGACCCGAGGCGTCCTTTCTCCAGGTGAGGCCAGTACAGGAGACTCGGTGGCCAGGGATGTGTAGTTGCAGTGGGACGGCCAGGTGCAGGGAATCGAGGGGTGGATGTGATCGCAAGGTGCCCAGAGAGAGCTGTGGTCCTGGGGCCGCGGGAGATGCTGGGTCCATCGGGTCTCTGCTGGGCCTGCGCCCTGGGGTGGCTGGGAGCGCTGACCCTGGATGTGGTGTTGTGTGTCTGTGTCTCTGTGTCTGACTGTGTGTGTGGATGTCGCTATCTGATTCTGTGTGTCTCTACTGTGTCTGTTTGTCTCTCTAACTTCGTGTGTCTGCACGTGTGCAACTGTCTATGTCCCGTCTGACTTATGTGTCTGCTCTGTGTTTATGTGTTTACGTATGTCCGTGTACCTGCCCAAAGAGCTCCGGTGGCACAGGGCCTAAGGCATTTGACTGCTAACCAGAATGTTGGCGGTTCAAGCCCACCAGCCACTCCGTGGAAAGAAGACTGAGCAGACTGAGCAATCTACTTCCGTAAAGATTTATCGCCTCAGAAACCCAAAGGGGTCGCTCTGAGTCGGAATCAACTCGATGGCAGTGAGTTTGGTTTTGGTTGTGTATCTGCCCATGTACATCTGTGTGTCCCTGTGTCTGGCTCCGTGTGTGTGTGTGTGTGTCTGTCTACATGGCTCTGTCTGTGTATGTCTGTCTGTGTGGCCAGCTTCTGCCTCCTCCATGAACCAGGCCTCGTGGCTCAGGGCTGCCTTTGGTTCTCCACACACCCCGACATGTGGCAGCCTCCCTGGCAGAGTCGCAGTGGGCACTGGGAAGACACCCCTCTGACAGGGAAACTGAGGCTCCGAGAGGACCACAGGCACCAGGGCTGGGTCTGGCAGATTACGGTGCCCCCTGCTCTGCAGCCTTGGGGCTGGGGGTGGGGTTGGTGTCACAAACAGGAAAAGTTCACGGAAACCAAGCCTTCCAGCAGCCAGTGGAGCAGGGAGGCAGGTGACCTGGGGGCTGACAGTGTTCCCGTGTGTCTGGTGCATGTCCTGTGTGTGTGGGCATGGGTGTTCAAGGCCACACTAGGGTATGAGTGGTCCACACTCATGGGCCAGCATCAACGTGCGCCTCTCCCAGCCTGGGCACCGGCCTGGTCCCCACAGTACAGGCCAAAGTGTGTCCTCAGTCACCTAGCCCGTGGTCAGGGACTTGAGAAACATGGGAAACCAAGGCTGAGGAGCCAGGGCCAGCCGAGGCTGCTCAGAGCTTCCAGCGCCCACCAGGCTGCTCCCAGGAAAAGGGGGGCCCCCAGGCAGAGGCACAGCAGGGCACAGGCTGGGGGACAGCTGCGAGGCCGGCCTGGATGGAGCGGCCTGAAGGCAAAGAGGGGGTTCACGCTCATTTCGAAGAAGGGGGGAACTGAGGCTTGGCAGTGGCAGACACAAGCCTCGAATCCAGGCTTGTTCGTCAGTCTCCACTAGGGGAGGCTGGGTGGGCCCAGGGCGTGGGGCAGGCAGAGCTGCAGGCCCGGGGGTGGGTGGGGTGTCGAGTAGGAGCCAAGACTTCAAGACAGATGGGTGGATCACGAGGTGACGCTCCAGGGAGGAGAGGGGAGTGGGGTGGGCGATGGGGGCCATCAGGCCAAGGAGGGATAGCTTCTTGGGAACCGAAACTCACGTTCCATTAGGGCCATGTGGTGCCCAAGCTTCAGGGCTCCATCCAGGCGCCCCCCACACTTTGATTCCTGATCAAGAACTGCTCTGAGTGAGGGAGAGCTGAGTCCCCACCCTCCAGAGCCGGGACCTGGGGCGGCGATTGCTGGCACTTGGCACCCAGACAAGTTCCAGAAGCCTCTCCTTGTCATCAGAGTTCCAGCCCCTTGCTCCTTGGAATTCTAGAAGCCAGAGGCTGTAGGATTCCAGAACTGGGGTTCCTTGGAATGCCAGAGCCCCAGACCCTCCAAATCCAAACCTCCTAGTCCTTGGGTTGTGGAATCTGAGGTCCACGCCTGCCATAGGCACAGAGAGGGAGATGGTTGCTCCGGGGCCACACAGCACTGCTGACAGACCTCAGGCTGGGATGAGGATAGTCTCCACTTGGTGAGGGCTGTGCTGGCCCTCCTGGCTAACACGGGAGGCGTGGGGAGGCCATGCCAGGTCCCCTGAACAGCCCTCTGTCTGTGGAACTTGACCCGGGTGCTATCACCTGTACTATGGGGGAGACTGGAAACTACTGGCTTTGGCCAGAGGACTTAGTGCCAGTTTCCAGCCTCCCCCAGACCAAGGGCTCTGGGTCGTGGGTCTGGCTCGCAAGATGGGGAGGGCATGAGGGAACCCTGCGTGTGTGTCCCCGGGCTGTGAACAGCGCATGAGGGTGGGGGCAGCAGGAACCATGAGACCGGGGAGGCCAGAGCTGGGGCAGTGGCGGCTGGCACAACTGAGCCTGCAGGGATGCTCAGAGAGATCACATACCAGCTAGCGAGGGGGCTCCCCGTCCCAGGCAGAATGCAAGTGCAGGACAAATCTGAGGCTAAAAGAGAATGTCAGTGTCCTAGAGACCCCCAGGGACCATGGCAAGCCCTGGCTTTCTGAGCCTCAGTTTCCCCACTTGAGGCTGTGCCCCCCACTGAGACTACCCTGCCCTTGGCTTTCAGCCCGGGAGGGTAGCTGTCAGGAACTGGATGATTTCAGGGGTTTGATAAGAGGCTCAGCCGAGGTGCCCATTAATAATATTCCGAGTGCAGGCTGGAGGCCACGCACAGGGTTCCCTGCCAACAGTGCCTACTGTATGCTAAAGGCTGCATGAACCCCTTCTCACCCTCACTCCCATTTCACAGGCAGGGAAACTGAGTCTCTGAGCAGAGACATGAATCCAACGTCATTGGACAGCTAAGTGGCCAAGCTAGGCAGGATTCAAATCCAGACAGACCAACATTTTAGAAATTTCGACTCTCTTCTTAAAGAAAATTCATACAATTACACCTCTGCCCTTGCTGCCCACCAGCCATCCAACAGTGGGCTTGTTAAGCATTTAGGTCCATCGGTAGGGTCTCTAGCAGACAAAAACTGTTTGCGCTTGACTGCGAAACTAAAGGTTGGGGATTCAAACTCACCCAGAGGCACCTGGGAAGAAAGACCTGGCAATCTACTTCCAAAACATTAGTCACTGAAAACTCTGGGGCCCAGTTCTGCTCTGACGCATGGGGGTCACCATGAGCCGGAATGGACTCTGTGGTGACTGGTTTCCGCAAAGATCACAGCCTAGCGAACCCTACGGAGTAGTTCACAGAAGCACTGTGAGTCCGAGTCGGCCCCACGGCAACCAACAGCAGGTGCACACTTACATGTGAGTCAGCTTGAGTTTAAATCCCAGGTGCATTCCTGCTGGACTCACTTGCCTTGGACAATGTGCTTAGCTGCTCTGGGCCTCACGTGTCAAGTAGGGCCTACCAGCAAACTCCTACACAGCCTTCAGTGCCCCATACGGCCCCCACTTTGGCGCTCACTGTTCCCTCCCTGAAGTGCAGCCTGACTGCCACCCCAGAGGTGACTTTGTGGCTTGAACTCAGGGCGAGGGGCAGAACCCGGCTCCCCTGCCCCAGCCCCCTGGGTGACCCTATGCAAGTCACTGCCCCTCTCTGATCTTGGAGGTCCTCCATGGTGTGTCCTTTTGGGAACTAGAACTGTTTACTGAGCGGTCTTGTTTTATTTTTAGTCCATTTCATCATCTCTGGCCTTGAGTCCATGGTGCCGCCGATTCATCCACACGTGGTCACGGGTCCATGTGTCTTGCCGGGTTTTCATCCAGCCCTCCCAGGGCCAGGGGTCCCACCCGCTGCCATTTATAACCCATCCCTGGGGAACCCGGCACTCCAAATGCATTGAGGATATGGCTCCCAAAATGGAGCTGGATGCCTGCACTTATTTCTTATTGTAAAAGCAAAGCCACAAAAATGGGAGAAAGGAATCCACACAATCCCATTATGTGTGAGGAAGGGCGGAAACGGTGCCTGGAGCTCCCCTAAAGCACCAATGGGGTCAGGCCTCCCCCACATGCATTCTGGAAAAATCCTGCCTCACGTGCAGTTGATGACCCCAGGATGACAGCCAGCCGCCCTTCCACACCAGCCATGGCCTGAAGGTCAGAATTTCTGTCTGACAATGACTGGAATGTGGCCTGGAGCTCCAGGTTGTGAACGACTTGAATGGGTGACAGATGGAGAAACTGAGGTTCAGAAGAAGAAACCACTTGCCTGGGGCCACACAGTTCAAACCCAGGGCTCCTCAGCCCTTCTCCGGGACCCGGCACATACTTCCTGGTTGTCTGCCAGAGGGGTCGTCCTGATCCCACTCCCTGAAGGGCACTGAGATGGGGGCAAGATGGAGCTGGAGACTGTAGCAGCAGTAGTCATAATCTTGGTAGTAGTGGTGCTAGTAATAATACAACCCAAGTGAAGAGTGAGGTAACTCAGGAAATGCTTCCTCATAAAAGGGATACTGGAGCTGGGGCATTGAAGGCTGTGTAGGAGTTCACCAAATCACCAGCAAATCCTTTCTGTGCCTCTCAGGTGCCCCTGAGTCAGTGCCAGCTCGTCCCACCTGCAACCCTGGCACAATGGGGTGGTGACCATCCCCACTTGACTCCAGCGCCATGTGGCCCAACAACAGCTCGCTGGGGCCCTGCTTCCGGCCAACAAACATCACGATGGAGGAGCGGCGTCTGATCGCCTCACCCTGGTTCTCTGCCTCCTTCTGCCTGATGGGCCTGGCCTCCAACCTGCTGGCCCTGAGCGTGCTGGCGGGCACGCGGCAGGGAGGATCGGGCCCGCGTTCCTCCTTCCTCACCTTCCTTTGTGGCCTGGTGCTCACTGACTTCCTGGGGCTGGCCGTCACCGGGGCTATCGTGGTGTCCCAGCATGCTGCCCTCTTCAACTGGCACGCCGTGGACCCCAGCTGCCGCCTCTGCCGCTTCATGGGTGTTGCCATGGTCTTCTTTGGCCTGTGCCCCCTGCTGCTGGGGGCCACCATGGCCTCAGAGCGCTACTTGGGCATCACGCGGCCCTTCTCACGCCCCACTGCCTCCTCGCAGCGCCGGGCCTGGGCCACCGTGGGGCTGGTGTGGGCTGCCGCGCTAGGGCTGGGCCTGCTGCCCCTGCTGGGTGTGGGCCGCTACACCGTGCAGTACCCCGGCTCCTGGTGCTTCCTCACCCTGGGTGCCGAGCCAGGGGATGTGGCCTTTGGCCTCCTGTTTGCACTGCTTGGCGGCCTCTCCGTCATGCTGTCGTTTCTGCTCAATACGGTCAGCGTGGCCACACTGTGCCACGTCTACCACGGGCAGGAGACTGCTCGGCAGCGGCCCCGGGACTGTGAGGTCGAGATGATGGCTCAGCTGACGGGCATCATGGTGGTGGCCAGTGTCTGCTGGATGCCACTGCTGGTGAGTAGTAGGAACATCAGGAAGACCAGGAAGAGTTATAAGAATGATAATCCCCGAGTCAAGAAAAGTCAGGTTAAGTCAGGAAAAGTTTCTTTATGGAGGGGACATTTGAGCTGGGGCATTGAAGACTGTAGGAGTTCACCAGTGGGGACTCTGCACGAGGCTTGGCCTACCCAACTCAACTGGACCTTGAGTGTCCCAGGCAGAAGAAACTGTCAGTGCAAAGGTCCTGGGGCACCACTCGGCCTGGAGTTGGAGGAACAGTGAGGCCCTTGTGGCTGGAACAGAGGGAACAACAGGGGAGAGAGGAGGAGGGAGGATAAGGAGGGGATGGTCTTATGAGCTTCTCTGAGGACTTGGACTTTTACCAGAGGGAGGTGGGAGCCCTAGAGGGCTGTGAGCAGAAGGCTAGGCCCTGACTCTGGTGCTCACCGGCGCCCTCTGGCTGCTGAAGGGGGAACAGACTGTGGAAGGGTGAGGGCAGGAGTCAGGAACCAGGGCAGAGGCGACTGTACTGGTCCAGGTGAGTGATGATGGAGCTGGACCAGGTAGAGGCAGAGGAGGGGAGAAGCGGATGGATAGGATTTGGCCCACTGCACGTGCTCAATAAATAATAATAATAATACATGGATATGGAAACACTTGCGGCTCTAGGAGACCAGGACTGCGTGGAACTCCCAGGGCACAAAAGGTAGCCTGTTTCTCAGCCAGAAGTGCTATCCTGTAACCACTGCCCCTTGCAGGCTCCCCGTCACGCCCCCTGTAGGGATGCTCACCACTTCACTCAGCCCTGACCTCTCCGCCCTGCAGACTTGCGCATGCACGCACGCGTGGTAGGTCAGGCCACCACCTACTCCCAGCGTTCCTCCTTCCGTCTCTGGTAACACCCAGAGCAGCCCCCGCCCAGGGCAGACCTGGGGTCACCAGATGTTCTCCAGGGAGTAAATATTTTTGGCTTTGTGGGCCAGCTGGTCTCTGTCACAACTGCTTAATCCTGTCATTGTATAGTGAAGGCTGCTATGGACCCAGGTAATCAAAGGAGCGTGGCTTTGTGCCAATACAACTTTATTACGGGCCCTGAAATTTGCATGCATGTCATTTTCACAGGTCCCAAAACAGTACGCTGCTTTTCAGTTTTTCCATAACTCCTTTTAAATGTAAGAACATTCTTAGCAAAAACAAAATAAAACAAAAACTAGTACTTGTCCAACCTGTCCTCAGACCCTCCCGTAGCCCCTCCTCTCACAACTGGACCAGTAAGCAACATCATGATAAACAGAGAAAAGACTGAGGTTGTCAAAGAATTTCTTTTACTTGGATCCACAATCAATGCCTGTGGAAGTAGCACTCAAGAAATCAAATGACGAATTGCATCGGGCAAATCTCTTGCAAAAGACCTCTTTAAAGTGTTAAAAAGCAAAATGTCACTTTGAAGACTAAGGTGCGCCTGTCCTTGGCCATGGTGTTTTCAGTTCCCTCATATGTACGTGAAAGCTAGACTATGAATAAGGAAGACCAAAGAAGAGCTGATGCCTTTTGACTGTGGTGTTGGCAGAGGGCTGAAGGTACCGAGGACGCCGGGAGAACGGATTAATCTGACTCGGAGGAAGTGCCAGTATGCTCCTTGGAAGCAAGGAGGCCGAGACTTGGCCTCTTGGCTTTGGTCACGTTATCAGGAGAGAGGCGTTCCTGGCGAGGGACCTCATGCTGGGTAAAGTGGTGGGTCATCGGAAAAGGAAAAGACCCTCGGCAAGACGGGCTGCCCCATGGCTGCAACGGTGTGCTCAAGCACAGCAGTGACCGTGAGGCCAGCACAGGGCCGGGCCGGGTTTCGTGCTGTTGTGCGTACGGTCACTGCGAGTCAGAGCGATTCATTGCAGGAGAAGAGCAGGGAAGGTCTGCTGTTTTTAAAGAACTACCAACAACACAGCTCCCAGAAGAAAGGCCACATTCACTTCTTGCAAACTCCCCTGGGAAACTCCTGTGGGTCTCCAGCGGCCTCCCTGGGTCGTGTCAGGCGCTCCTCTGGACTCTGACGGCACCTGGGGCCGCCATCACAGCCCCACTCCCCTGCGCTCCAGCAGCCTGCGCGCCTGTCCATCTCCCTGACTGAACTGTGAGCCTAGGAGGGTGTGAACGGGCTCTGGCTTGGCCATTCGTGTGTTCCTAGCATCACCTGGCACGCAGTAGGTGCTCAGGAAATCTTTTATTTTTAAGAAAATAAATGAACAGCTATAATAACGATGGTGGCAGTAACAGTAACTCCTGAGGGCCCTAGCAGAGAGTGCACACTTTGCGCTTGGCTACGAAATGAAAGGAGGTGGAACCCACCCAGCAGTGCCAGTGAAGAAAGGCCTGGTGATCTGCTGCCATAATGATTACAGCCTTGGAAACCCCAGGGAGCTCAGTTCTACATATGAGTCAGAGTCACCTCGACAGCCACTGGTTGGTTTGGTTTTGAACCATGACGTCACCACATCAGATCATTGCAGGCGAAGAGGAGGGAAAGTTTGCTGTTTTAAAAAACTTGGTTATTTTGTTTTTGTTCATAATCTACACAGTGGAACATGCACCAAGTCAACCATTTCTCCGTGTACAATTTGGTGATGCTGATGACATTCGAGGAATTATGCAACTATTCTCACCTCCTTCTCTGAGTTGTTCCTCCCCATGAACATGTACTCACTGCCCCCCTAAGGTTCCCACCTAACCTTTCGAGTTGTTGTCCATTTGATCCAATAGACAGAGTTCTTAAAGGGCACAGTGCCCAAGGCGGACAGTCTTCACTGTTGTTTGGTTTAAAGAAGACTTCAGGGGGTAGACTTGGTTGAAGGTTTAAAGGAGTGTGCTATTTCATGCACACATCAACCAAAACTCAGAGAGGGCAGCCACTCTCCTAATATCACACAGCAAGGCAGTGACACTCAAACTCAGGGCAACACCAGGCATGGCCAGGAGGGGCCAGGGTTGGCAGGCGGGACCGGCCCGGGGCTTATCACTCTCCTCTCTCTTCAGGTCTTCATTGCACAGACTGTGCTCTACACCCCGCCAGCCATGAGCCCAGCGGGCCAGCTGCCCCGAGCCACAGAGAAACAACTACTGATCTACCTGCGGGTGGCCACCTGGAACCAGATCCTCGACCCCTGGGTGTACATCCTGTTCCGCCGCGCTGTGCTCCGGCGGCTCCAGCGACGCCTCAGCACCCGGCCCAGACCGCTGTCACTCAGGCCCCGCCTCACTCAGGGGCCCATGCTGCAGTAGGGCTTGGGGTGGACGTGGCTGGTGGCTCTGGAAGGACAGTTAGACAGTTAGGTGACTAAACCCGCTGTCCTCCCTGATGGACGCCTGTTCCGCTGTTGCAGGAGGTGCGACGCTGGGACGTAGTGACGTCATCAGGGTTGACGTCACCCAGTGTGGTACCTCGTGGCGTTACACACCTCCTCCCTGTGGACCGCCTCCAGTACCAGACCACGCGGAATCCTTAGGAATGTTTACTACCAATTTCAATCATAGAATAATATGTGATAAATATCTTTGCTTAAATGTAATATTTCTTAATACTAACAAACAACACAAATTGTTTTATAAAATTGTCGTGCACTAAATTACATTAGTTACAACTTATTAGTAAGTGAGCGAAGCCTTTTTTCATTTGTCTCCTTTTCCTCTAATGACGACTCATTCTCAAAAAAGTTATTGATACAGGTTCACAAATGCTAATATCATAATATTGTAGCTAAAACAGCAGAAAATCTGACAAAATCAGTGACTAGAAAAACATCAAACCAAAAAACCAAACTCACTGCCATCGAGTGGATTCTGACTCATAGTGACCCCCCACACACGCATTGGATTTCCAAGCTGTAAATCTTTACAGAAGTGGATCGCCCCATTTGCCTTCCACGGAGCAGCTGGTGGGTTTGAACCACTGACCTTCCGGTCAGCAGACAAATGCTTTATCCACTACGCCACCAGTTGTTGTTGTTGTTGTTGTTATGTGCCGTGGAGTCAGACCTGACTCATAGCGACCCCTCCTTGGGTTTCCGAGGCAGTATCACTACGGAAGTAGATTGCCCCATCCTCCTTCCGAGGAGTGGCTGGTGGGTTTGAACCGCCAGCCTTCTGGTGAGCAGTCAAGTGCCTTAGCCACTATGCTACCAGAGCTCCCACGCCACCAGAGCTCCTTATAAAACACCACCAGCAGTGAAAACAACTGCACATGCTTGTGGCACGTGCAGACAAAACCACGTGATTCAAAATGTTCAGAGTGACGTTGTAATTGGGCGATAGTGACAGCTCTGACCGGAGTGCATCCGAGGGTTCAAAAAGTGAATGAGCACAGAGTTGCAGCCTTGTAGGTCTACTGCTACACGTGAGGTGGGTTATGAGAAATGGTGTTGTTACAACTACAGGAGTATTTTTACTTTTTAAAAATAATACATTTCTGCTGAAACACTGCACAGAAAGTTTATAGTCATTTTGATGTCGCCCCTCTGACAGTGTCACCAGATGCAGACCACACCCTTGCACCCTCCTGGGGCCGCCACTGCGGGGGTGGACAGGGGGCCTGGAGCATTGCGAACTGTTTTCTACCAGACTTGGGGACCCCAGACTCTCCCTGATCCCCCCCAAGACCTCTCTCAAACACCCCCCCTCTTGCCTCCCCCTTCTCTCTAAGCCTCCCTTTCCCTTTCTGAGCCCCCTCCCACCTCTGAGCTCCTCCAAACTCCAGGAAAGGGAGTATGTGTACCTTGCAGTGAAACATTCTGGGGAAAAAAATAGACTTGTAAGGCTCAGGGTAAGGAGCTCTGGTGCTGCAGTGATTAAGAGCTCGGCTGCTAACTGAAAGGTCCGCGGTTCAAACCCACCAGCTGTTCCTCAGGAGAAAAATAAAGCAGTTGGTTTCTATAAAGATGACAGCCTTGGAAACCCTTAATGCAGTTCTACTCGGCCCTCTAGGGGCACTGTGAGTCGGAATTGACTGACAATGAGTTTTTATTGTTATTATTATTATTTTAATTGTACTTTGGGTGAAAGTTTACAGAGCAAATTCACTTTCCATACAGAGCATTTCACTTTGTCATATGACATTGACTGCAATTTCCCACAATGCGACAGCTCCCCTTCCACTTCCTCCCCATAGTCACCTCTTCCCTGTGTCCATCCCTCCATGCGCTCCTGCCCCCTGAGCTGTCTCCCTGTGCATACACAGCCCTTCTTTCTCCCATGATTGTTCTCTCCAAGGAATGTATCTACCTCAAGTAAATGTTGAACTCATATGCCTGTCTTTTGTTTGGCTGGAAGCCACAGGAGTGGGTTCAATTCCAGACCTGAAAGGCAGCTAGGGACCATAGTCTCAGTGGTTCCACCAGGCTCTATCAGACCAGCAAACCTGGTCCCCCTGCCTTTTTTTTTTCTTTTTTTCAAATGATTTTGAGTTTTGTTCCACATTGTTCTCCCTCTCTGTCCAGGATCTCCTACATAGATCCCCCTCTGAGTGGTTGACAGTGGTAGCCGGGCACCATCTAGTTCTTCTGGTCTCATAGTCATATAGGCTGAGGATCGCATGGTGTACCAGTCGTGAGGACTGTTTCCATGAATCTTTGGTTTTCTTCATTCTTCTTTGCTCTGGATAAGGAGAGACCCATCATCTAGATGATGGCTGCTTGCAAGCTTTTAAGATCCCAGTCAGTACTCTACTCACCAGAGCAGGAGGTGGAACAATGTTTTGTGTAGTATGTTATGCCAGTTGAGCTTGATGTCCCCTGTGACTATGGTCCCGAGCCCACAGGTCCAACTACTTGCTCCCTCTGAGTAGCTGGCTGTGACCAAGAAGTGACTACAACCTTGTCCCTTGTCAGCTCTACTATACCCCTTGGAATTCTTATTGTTGTAGTTATATGCTGTAGAACATACAAATACACTTGTAGAACCATTGTCTGCTAACCCTACACATGGTCCTGGGTACACTCCCTGCTTTATAGGCATGCACAGACATACCTAATAATTCAACCTGTCCACCCATCTATCCCTCCGTATACCCATGTTTGTCTTCACTGACACCGCAGTACTGTATGTGCAAAAGGGTTCATCTTGTTGTCTGCACCTCCCATGTACCTCTCTATGTCTTCCTCTTCCTCAATGCTGACATGTTGATCACTCACATTGAGTACATTGCGCTTCTCTTCACCCAAATCAATACTTATCTCTACATATCTAACAATGTTCCCTCCCCTCCCCTCCCACCCCTGGTAACCAACAAATAAAATTTCTTTCCATAGATAAGGTTGGGCAATCCTACTTCCTTAGTAATACTGCCTCGGAAACCCAAGGAGGGGTCGCTATGAGTCGGGGCCGACTCGACGGCAAACACCACCACCACCACCATAGATAAACCTTTCCTTAACTTTTACAATAACGGACTAGTACAATATTTGTCCTTCTGTGACTGACTTATTTTGCTCAGCATAATGCCCTCCAAGTTCATCCATGTTATGCGGTGTTTTGCAGATTCTACATTATTCTTTAGGGTTGCATAGTATTCCATTG